TAGATATACATAAACATAAAATCTNCTTTCAATTTGACCTTTTTCAAATAAGCAGTGTTTATTATTAGCGTAAACTGAAAATGTATAAGTTTATTTCAAAAAGCTTTTCTTATATCGATAAATGCATATGCATGTACGTTGGGTACTACTGTATAGTAGTAGCGAGAGGGTCGCTTGACGTGGAAGAGGTTTACCATAAAAACACCTGTTTTCCTTTTTATATAAGAGAATGATTTATATACTTATATATATATTTATTTATACTATTTGGAGCGAAGCAAACAGAAGGCGAGCGATGCTCCATTCTTACATAATAATAGGAATAATCACCAGAAAAACTATTTTTATCTGATTTCTCAAGAACGGCCAAAATTACCATTTTGAGTAAAAAAAAATAAAACCACAATTCGGACATACCATAGAGGAATAATTGGCAAAAAGTATTTGATATTAGGAGAAAGCTCACGGCGTTAGCTAAGTGAGTAACAGGTCGGACAATTTGTTACGTGTTGTAGTTCATACTGCTTCGTCCCATTTCATCTTGTACCATACTGCGAAGATTACCTAGTGTTAATTATATGAATGAAATGCAAAATGTTTTTCAAGCAGATTAGTCCGAGTTCGTTGGTTGACCTAGTTTTGGTCAATCGACAGCGACGACAGAAATGCCGGGTCGCTTGCATACATGTACATGTACCGTATGCCTACGAATTATATACTATACGGAGTGTTCCCACAGGACGCCCTCCCTAGTATTTAACGATATTCGTTATCCTGTTGTGAAGTATTTCGACAAGCATACTCGACGTCTTTAGTGGGTTGTTTTTGTTGATTAAGCAGCGTCATTTTTGTGCATGTTGTCGCTCTGACATGATGTATTTAAACCAGCATACATCATCGTCGGTGAATAGATACGGTTTTCTCTTTGTTAGGCAGTAGGACGGTGAACATGTGGTCGTTCCTGTTGATTACTTTAAAAGGGCCGTCGTAAGAGAAATGTAACGACTTAATAGGACCATCGTGTCGAGTTAGGACGTACTCTGCTGTTTGAAGTTCTTTGTAGATGAATGTCTTCTTTTCCCCATGACGAGTTCCGGATACAGGTTGTAGTAGTTGTAGGTTGATGAGCTGCTACTGGTCGGTGGGCTTGATGGAGATAGGAATTTTGCTGGTAGACATACTTTCCATATGTCAGCGGCTGTTGCTTTCAGATCGTCCGTTCTAGGTTGCTCGGATGCCTAATAGTACAGCAGGAAGAACCTTTTGATGACATTGTTTCTGCAGCCTTCCACTGATTAAAAAACAGATTTATGGAAATTTAAACATGGAAGTATCATCCCCTTTCGCTCTTGCAATCGAAGAGAATGCTTCTTTGTTTTGTCTTTTTGAAAAGTTTTTCCTTATATTGAGTACGAAAACTAAACTATTATTTTCGCGTCAGAACTGATCTTCTTTCCTCCTCTTTCCTAACTAATTAATTTTAATGTTTTATGAAAACCTGCTGTCTAATCTTTCACGTTGTTCTTACGTTTTTATATAGGGAATTAAATGTAGTGGTTTATTGACAGTATTGTTTTTTTATTTTACGATATTTCCAGAGGATCTCTAATCTTTGATTTATTAAATATGCACTTATCTCAAATTACTAAAATACTGAACACAATCCAATATAAAAATATAAAAGTAGACTGTGGCGAACTACCCCGAATACCACAACATGTGAGCATTTTCAACGCAGACTTTTAACTAGGCGAAACACGTGATGATCCGAAGGTGTGCTAAAAAAATATTTGAGTAGCATGAATATGTTTAGTTATCATTCTATCATATTCTCATAAGAAGTTGCCAGTGCCATAACCTCTATATGAACTGTGTAGGTACTGTGTGTACACATTTACATAAAATCTTGTTGAAATCAGAGTTGTGCTCCAATGCGTATATTTTCTTCCTTTGTATTTTACACGGAAGTTATTGCCGATGATTAATGATTTATGAATTACCCACCGAAAGCAATAATGCAAATTACAAAAAATTATACAGATGGCAATCGATCGTCGTGCTGGAAAGGCTGATTTATTGCAGTAGTTTCATACGACCCTTCATTTTTATTATACCGAAGTTCCTACTTACTAAAGAAACCATTTTTGTTCCGACATTGGGACCTATATGTAGGTATTAACATATATGTCAAAAGGAAATAATAGCTGCAAAATGTCCATGTTTATCCATCCATTGTGTTCTAACTTAATTGTATTTAATTATGTATTTACGAATTGCATTTGTCTAACGAAGTAGATATATCCGACATACTAGATGAATAAAAAATGTTAATTATGCTCTTACCTACTAACATTTTAGTAAATATAATCTTTAAACTTTTATTTATTTCAACGTGTGTTGACCCCCACATGTGGTAGAGGTGAGTAGCGTGCTTCTGCGGGATTGCATTATATTATTAAAGGAGTCGTGGATCTCCGAGGTGCTAATTTCTTATCAGCGGGTTGCATATTGTCAAGCAGTGAAGTTTTAAAGAGATTCAAAAAACCAATTCAGACTTTAAAACGTATTTCAAAATTAATTAAACATTTCATAATTATAAAGTTGTAATTCTTTCGAAATTTATGAAACAGATATCGAGTTCATTTACTTGCAAAATAAGCGTATTTGGCATTCCGCAGCAACTAAACAGTAATTGAAAAGAATTATCTATGTACAAGCTGAAATTGACGCAAGTTCGATAGTTCTGGTTATTGTGAAAATTATGGAACTTCACGAAGTCATCGAAAAAGACAAAGAGGATTTCTGACCTAGTAGTTAGTATCGCAAATTTCGTCAGTTTTTCGTTAAATCAGCTAAACCAAAGAAACTTCAGGAACCAGTGAATGACCCATGTTGAACTATGTACAAAATAATTTACTGGTTCATCAAGAAGTTTGGCGCGTGAACGGGGATCGATGGTCTAATTGCGATCAGTCGACTCGAGAACGGGTTAAGAAAACGACTCTACCCTTAAGAGCAGAACCGGTGGGAAACCCTAAGTGTTGGTGGCACTATCTCCTGGTCGGGATGATTACAATTCTCCTATCAATGTAAGTAAATTTGTTAACATATACGGTGTGTTGAATTACATTGGGAGAAAGACCTTTTTTGTGAACATTTCTGTTTAATTTTCTATATAATTCCATATAACAAAGTTGTTATGTTATTGTTTTCCAATCTAGCGTTTCTTGTTATTTTAGTACCTTACGTCCAGTCACGACAAAATAATCAAAATGCATTATAATCAGGTAAAAAATAATAAATAATTAACAAAAAAACCAAAATAACAAAATACCGCATGACAATATGTCCTTACTTAAGGAACCCCTGTGCTCTATTGTAAAAAAATCGATATTCGATTCGTTTCTCGATTAACTGAATCGTAACATTCGTAACAACGGATTTTTGCTTGAGCTAATTTGTAATGGAAATAATTAAGTTGATTTCTTATTATTGCTTGATAATTATTAAACTATAAATATGCTTAACAAAATTTCATTGCTGTCACCTACAAGGGCAGCAACATGACGACATTCGTTCAGAGTCAGTTTCAGCAGTGGTATGAAGTTAGAACAAATTCTAAGCGTTGGGGATAGAAAAGACACAGCAATGGGCTAGTTCTTGTCACCATACTCGAGCTCCAGGTTCAGAAACGTTGTTAAAGCTTACTTCTTGTAAATGCAAAAAGAGATGTGAAAGAGCCTGCGGATGCAGAAAGGCTGGATTAAAGTGCTCATTATATGCACGAATTTCATTACAAGATAATGACGAAGAGGAAAAAATGGAGACCGTTTTTGAGCAAACGTACTATGAAATCGAGGAACAAGAGGATTATAACGAAACTGATAATCCCCACAATGCTGTGGAAAAAAATTCTATCTATGACGTTTCGATCAGCACTGATGACGATGAAGTCGCAACACCTAGTCCATTAGGAAGCGAAGCTTCGAATGCGCTAAATGTTGTAACAATGCGCTACATGATTAGGCCTACTGGAAATTCTACGATAAAAAAAGCGCCGCTTATTCCACCTCATTGTGGTGTGAAAATGAGTTCTTTGACCAAACTTACGGCGTTCATACGCTAAAACTATTCATTTTACAAAAAAGGTTACTACATAAATTGTAGGAAATGTTCTCTACTTTAAATTCTTACATAACTATTTTCATCGTAAAATGTGTCGGCAAGAAGATACCATAGACAAATTGGTTTTGAGAACCATTATTTCCATATTTGCCGAGAACTAGACCATAAGCACTGAACAATCATGTGGGATTTTAAATTTTTTTATGTTTTATTTCTATTATTTTGTTTCGTTTTAATAGTAAGTCTAATTACTGTACTTTTATGTTAAAAATTCGCTCCGCGAGTCTCCTTCGAACTCTATAACCCACCCCCCTAAGATAAACAACTTAGAAGTCACTGACATTGGGTCGTCACTACAAAGGGTGAAGATGTTTCTGTTAATTTGAGTGCGTTTATTTAATTTTGTTTACACTTTTAAAAGGAAATGCAAGTTGACGGTTCTAAATATTTTATTAAGGGTTTCACACCTTTACATTAGAATCAACATACTGCAATATTATCATTGTACCAGTGTATTAATTTACCTGTAATATGACAATACGTATGTTTAACTGTTTATCTGGTGCAGGGCAAGAACATTCTTTTGGATAAAATTATTAAGGAGCTTATACATTGAATATCACCTACATTCATTACACTGCAGAAGCTTTAGAGTGAAGTTAAAACCTAATAAAAGAGTAAAGAAAATTGGAAGCAATAATGTCCTACCTAGGGTAATGGCTAATGAACGTATAGTATATCTCAAAGTAATCGAATGTTCAGTTTTCGCAACCCGCATTTTTATTGGGCTTTTTAGTCTCCAACAAAAGACATTCCTTTAAGGTAAAGTGTAAAAGCTCCTTTCTTGTAAGTATGTTTGTGATAAAACCACTTACCTTAATTCCATAATTCGATTCTTCATAAATTATGGAAATGTAACTCCAGCCCATTTTGCGAACGATATCGACCATTGCCTTTACCTGATAGTGATCAGATGGTATCGTCCTAGTAAAATATTCAAAGCGTTGTTTATTGCTGAGTTCAGGACTCGTTGAGAAGAAGGATACCTGTTGAAAAAAATAAAAAATATTTTAAAGTGAAATATACACGTTACTGTAGATGCCTATAATCATAAGTATACGAAGTATTCGTCTTCATTTGCCAAATCCTATAAGTATAGTCTCAATAGATGAACGATGTATACAATACACTACTCACTATGATATAAATCCAATGTAACTATACAGTGTAGCATTTCAGCTTCAATTTCGGAAAACGAAACAAAAAGCTTCCAAAATTAAGAATTGAAATTTAAAATTTGTCTTCAATGGCGGCGACTTATATATATTCAGTCATTAGTCTAGACAACACAGGCTACATTGCTAAGCTGTGAACTTTCATTTTAGTATCTACGTAAGTACAAATTGTACCACTATCACTGTGATTTCTTCCATCCGAGGAAGTCGAAACAATTGTCCTTTTTAACTTACGGCTATATACATTGTAGCGAGCACGAGTATGTTTGTGTGCGTGAACGACTTATCGATTTGCCGACTAGCCGCGGGCGCCTTTCCTCATGTGCACCGTATTTGTAGATGTGTGTGTCGTAGCTGCGTTCTGGGAAAGCAGATAAACAGTTCAAAGAAAAAGAAACTATCCGGACATTTTCCAGAAGGTTCCCGAAAGTAAACAAATAATATTTAAAGGAAGAGGCGATCGCAGCAAAAGTAGAAATAAATTGACCATGCAGAAGTGACTCCAGAAATAAATTGACAGTGATAGCAGTGAAATAAATAGCGTAGTGAATAGTGATATATCAACAGTGGTATAAGTAAATAGAATAATTCATAACTTAAGTTTGGTAATAATTTAATAGTGTTTTTAAGTTATTTAATAATTAGTATANGCGCAGTGAATAGTGGTATATCAATAGTAGTGTAAATAAATAGTTTTTGTCGTTATCAGTCTTAGAAGTTAATTTTGTTAAATCCACGAACATTAGAATATATAATTTTCTTCATCTTGTTATTCGAGTTTTGTAGCAGGAACTGGTTAACATTTGCTTCTTTCGTCATAAGTGCAGGTATTGGGTACAAGCCTGTTCTACATATCCAAACAGCTTGAAGGCAAGCATTTTCTGTTTAGTATTTATCAACTCTAGTGCATATCTAGCAATTTAACATGATTTTGCGTGAGCTTTTACGGTTTATTGAATAGGTAGTGACTGAAAAATGTTTATTGTGTTATACAGGAAGTTGGTGCAGAAAATTGATAAATTTGAGACGTTTCGGTCACCAAAACTTTGTGACCCTAAGTCAATCTAACTAATTTAATATTGAAATCTGAAGTAAGCGTTAATATGTAATTAGACAATATAAGAAATTGTACTGGCCTTAAATTTGAAGGAGTCTACACGGTTGATTCAAATAAGAATTGTAAAATTTTCAAGTTTTAGAACGTAACATATTTTTATAAACACCGTTTTCACAAAATCGTACAATTAACCCGTGATGGACAAAATAACTGAAGACATATCAAAACTAAATTTTTAAAGTATCAACCTTAAAGCTTGGAGCAGCAGAAATCGGTCAATTTTAAAACTGTTTTAATATTCTGTTCTTTGTTCGTTTCAGAATATTTAGGCTTATGACGAGGTGAATATTAAAGAAAATGGAAAATTAAAAATAACCTTTAAGACAATGCTAAAATAAAAGAGTAATTTCTACATTAGAAACAATCCTTAAATGAAAACTTCCAACGCATTTTCCTTCTAATAATCAGGCATCTTCGTAGAAATTGAGCGGATTTTTCCAACGCTTCTGGCGTAGCCATTATTCGCATTTAATTTTAATTGCGACCTCAGTATAAATGACACTTTTTTTGCAACAAGCAATTCCTAAAGAATATGAATTCTGTATTTCATTCGATCATAAGTTTCTACTTTATTTGCACAAGTAATCATTTTTTTCATTTGTTAGCATGCCTTTTCAGTTTTTAAAAAGCCAGTGTCTAATGTTTATTTTGTATTCTAAATTAGGTATTAATAATAGACTGTGAACGGTGTATTTTTTTGTGAAATACGGTATGTATACCCATAATAACAAATACGTTTACCAATTTTATTTAAGTTTCGGGATTTATTCCATTATTAAGAGTAAAAGTGTAGGTACCTACTAAATTTGATATGTGCTATCTATATTAGAGCTATTTTATTAAGGTAACTCAGAAAAGCGAGGAGTAAGCTTGACCTAATTTTCGTTTTTTAATGTATATTAATTTATCTACTAAGTCTATCCGTAGACTTTCCATCATCATCATAAGGTCGACAATCCTAAGACTGGTTGGAAAGGCACCTCTACTCTTTCCTATCCTGAGCTAATCCGCATTTCCCTGAAACTGGAGCATCCCACATCCTCAATTGAGATCTACCTCTGCTCCTCTTCTCCTGTTTCTACTTCTAATATGTCTCTGACTAGACCCTCATATGCATAAGAAGGTGTCCTACCAACCTATCTCACTTATTTCTTATTGATATTCATTCTCGTTCTCCTTCTCTTTCCAATACCTCTTCATAAAATTCGAACATTAATTTATTGTAAGGAGTATGTTAAACTTAAGAAATTTTTGTTGTAGTTTGTTCCAAATATAAAGTTTGTACTGTTGTGGAATGAGTTTTACATAGTAATCACCTCAACCTTCACTCTGTATTTATTAAAGACTTTGTATCTTACCATTGTATAAACTTTATTGGTTACAAATATAAAAACAAATTACAGAAATTGGGCCTAAAAGCACAATAGGCCAATTAGGTAGCAGTGGCGCAGCGTAAACTTCTGCTACCCGGGGCGAATCCTAAAATTGCTTCACAATTACGTGAGGTCTTTTATTCAAATTGGTCGGAATTTCAATGAAAAAAGGTGTATATAAAAACTTTCAATTTGACCTTTTTCAAATAAGCAGTGTTTATTATTAGCGTAAACTGAAAATGTATAAGTTTATTTCAAAAAGCTTTTCTTATATCGATAAATGCATATGCATGTACGTTGGGTACTACTGTATAGTAGTAGCGAGAGGGTCGCTTGACGTGGAAGAGGTTTACCATAAAAACACCTGTTTTCCTTTTTACATTATATATTCAGCACAATATATTATATAATTAGCAGAATTATCGCTAACTTGCTGAAAGACAACAAACGACTAACAATAAGTATAAACAATTACCAAATTATATGGTAGGAGACAAGAGCCACTAAGGAAGATTAAGTCTAACAGCTTTACTCTTCCTTGAAAATTATATGACGTAATCTCGTTTGCGGACTTCACTTCTTCTCCCCCTTTCCTGATTTAGCTTTGCTCTTGTGTGGGGTCCTACATAGTGTTTTTTTCTGTCATCGTCACATGGAACTTTCCGGGAAAATGAAAAATATAATTTTGGAAATTACGAACAGTATGTAACACTATTTATATGTACTTGAACGAAAACGAAGAGTTTCACTATCAGTATAGTAGCAAAAAGAGTGAGATCAGTGTACTATTAAACCCATAAATCTTTTTCAAGAAATACCCTACATCTACTTGTTTAAACAAAAACGAATGTCACGAGTTTCTCTTCAGGTCATGTTGTTATTACTACTCACACTTCATCTCCAAATTATCTAGCAACGCTACTATGTCTTCCAAGTAAGAAAATAACTGTCACGTATTTAAACACATTTTCGAACTATTACTATCTTTATTTGATTATTTTAAATTATATTAAACATGTCTAGTTTTAAATAAAATTGATGGGCGCAGTTTTTGTTGTTTTCGTTTTTATGAAAAACAGTTTTTTACTTACAAATGTTTCTTCGTTATTACGATAGTAATTTAACTATACTGTACTTTTTTTATAATCGTAACAGTAAAAGTTCTGTAATCGAAAACCAGTGCTTTTGTATTTTGATATGGAGTTAAAAGAAATAAGAACTTCATGCAGTCAATATATAAATTCAAGTTAAGACAAAGGTCTTTTGGAGGGAAGAAGCATTCACGTTTTATTAATTTTATGGCAGACTTCACTACCGTCTTCGAAATGTTCGTTAAACTGTGTGTCACGTACTTTCTACCGAAGAGCGAAACGGTTCAAATATTAGAAAGGGAGCCAAATGTTACGACGATACCGCGTTCTTTTTCGCATACTAAAAGCCAACCCAAATAAATTTGTTTTAAAAGCAGAAGTTTTTATTAACATTGTTATAACTTGGACCTAATTGACTAGAATTTCTATTTGGCAGTTTGTGTGTTTACCATTTACTTCAAAAAACAGGAAAAAAATGTATTTTCTTGCTGAAAGAAACGTAAGCCCGGAGAATGACTACTGCCATGTTATTAACTTACTGTGTTAAAAGGCGGATGATATAGGTACCGTATATTCATAATAAAGAATGTTTTGTTATTAATATTATTATTACATAGTTAATAGTTGTAACCAGTGAACCACTACATTCCAGTTATCTATATAACATTTTAGTTAGCCACGGAAGGGGGCTGTGGGACTGGCTAACTACGTCATAATTATGAGGCATCGTGTTGGCAACCATTAGTTCAATTTATGGAAGCCGCAATCCGCAGTGGAGGCACTTCCTAAAAATAAACATAACAAAGAACACATAAACTGGAATCAACAGCGGACTCACTTTCTTGCAGATTTACCTTAAAATATACTAATCGCTTACAATGTTCTCTAAGGAGTTAAGCAATTTTCCTAGTATATATTTAATACAGTGGACCTTGCCAAATTTCACGAGCGTACCAAAGCCGCCTCCCAGAATTCCGTTCCCCCAAAATTCCGACTTCAGACACACTAGACCCCATGAAATCTCCCTTACTATCCGTTCTTTGAAAAAGAGGAAAGACCCTGGCGTTGACGGAATTCACAACGGAGCCGTCAAAGTCCTGCGGCCAAAACACATAACCGCACTGTGCTACATCACAAACGCATTCATGCGCCTCCGCCAGTTCCTTTGGTATGAAAAGAAGCCATTGTCATTCATCTCCCTCAAAATGGAAGCCCCTCAGCTCTCCCTCA